TAGAGATGGGAGGCTTGGTGTGGGCTGTGACCCCAAGAATGTGGGTCTACTTTGGAGGTAGAACTGAGCAGGATGAGGGGGTAAGAGAAATAGAAACCGGTATACAGCCACACTTTAGTTTTTTGTTTTGTTTTGTTTTCCTGAACAGCTGGGAGGCTACTGGTCTAGCTACCTATGATGGCACACCTAGGAAAGGACTGGATTAAGGGGAGAGAGGAGGGAAATCAGAGCCCACTTTTGATGAGAGATGCTCCCTAGGCTTCCAAGGGGAGGCATTGGGTTGTAAAGAACACATGCCTGGAGTTCAAGAAGGAGTCTTGGCTGGGAGAGTCACCATCTATTGATGGTCTATGAAGGCCCAGAACTGGAGGACAGCCACAATGGTAATGAATGGAGATTAGGACAAGAGAGCTGAAGACCCTCACTGGGAGATGGTGGAGGAAGCGGGACAATGAAGGAGCCTGAGAGGGAGCAGCCTGTGTGTGGGAGAAGAACCAGGGAAAGTAGGGCTGGGGATGTCTGGGAAAGAAAGATTTTCAAGCAAGGGGCAGTGGCCAAATGTGTCAAATGCCAGCAAGAGCCAGAGACTGGACCTTTGGCTTCGGCAGAATTTAGGTCACTGATAATCTAGACAGCAACCATGTCATGTGACAGCGGGGGCAAAGGGCAGATGGGAGCAGCAGGAATGCAAATGGGGAGGGAGGACATGGAACAGCAGACAGCAGAGGGGCTGGGGGTACAACATGGGGTTTCAGAAAGATGGCTGGTGGTGCATTTATAGATGATGGTGAGGTTTCCAGGAGGGAAGAGAAAGGCTGCAGGAATGAGGTCTGAGACAGTGGGATCCCAGGCCCAACTGGAGAGCTCATGGAGGTATCTGCCCCTACAACCTGAGGGAAGGAGGCATAGGTGGGTCCTGACTCAGCAGATGGGGCAGTATCTTGGAGGCAGAAATTAAAGCTGCCTTTGTGTGATGGCCTCCATTTATTTTTTTCTCTGAAACAAGTGATGGTATTGCCAGCTGACCTTGAGGCTGGGGTGTAGGAGATTTGAAGACAGAAGGAGAACTGGAAGAGTTACCTCAAGGGTGAGGCAGCCAAGGAGCTAAAGTGTATCAGAGGAATGGGTACACCCCATGTGAGACTTGCAGGGTGGAGTTGGAAGCAAGTCCTGTCACAGAGGTGTGCTGGATCTAGGGCAAAGATGGATCCAACCAGAGTCTGGGGTTTTATCAGGTGAGCACAATGGATGGAGCAGGGTGTAAAGGCATTTGATTCGGTGCAGTGATTATTCTAAGAATGGCTCAAAGACATGAGTGAAGGCACTGAAAGAGATGAAGGCCTGCAGCTTGAAGGACTCAGAGACCGACTAAAAGACATACCTGAGCCAGACACTAGGAGGTGATTCCGAGCAGGAGGTGTGAGGTTGTCAGGACAAGGAGTCTGTGCACTTGATTGGGTGTGTGTGGGTAAGTGGTAGCGAAAGGCTACTGGAGTTAAGCAGGTTTTCCCATCCTCTCACTTAGTCCTTTCCAACGTGGGAGTCAGAACCACATCCTCCCAGAGCTGGAAGGGGCTAGATGCTTGTTATTTTTTTTTAAATTTAATTTTGGTGGAACCAGGGTTTGAACTCAGGGATTTGTGCTTGCTAGGCAGACACTCTATCACTTGAACCACACCAACAACCTAATTTATTTATCTATTTTTTGAGTCAGGGTCTTGCGATGTAGTCTGGTTTTGAATTCCTGATCTTCCCGCTTCAAACTCCCCAGAGGTGGGGTTTCAGAGTGTGCAACCAACCTTGGCTAGCTAACCTGTTTATTGTGCCAATGGGGAAACTGAGGCCTGAGAATGTTGGAAGCAGAAAGTAAAATGTCAGAAGCTGGCGATGTGAATCTTAGTGCAGGGTGAGGCAAGATTCTTGCTGGTATCACCCCACTTTCTCTTTCCCCAGCGGCAGCAGTTCCTTCTCCTCCCTCAGTCCCTAGAGCACCTGCCCTGAGCCCTTCAGCAACCCTTGCACTCTCCTGTCCTCTGGGGAGCCGCTGCAATAAGAGGCACAGTTCACAGCTTGACAGGCTCTTTCATGATGCTAACCAAGCTGTGTTTCCTTACAAACACCTCACAATAGATTTCCTCTTCATTTATTCATTCATTCATTCCCTCATACACTCATTTAATCATTCTTCATTCACTCCATCTTTCATTATTATTCATGGGGGTTGAGCTGCCAAACCATACAAGGGATGAATTCTCATTTACTGGCAGACTGCTCACCCACCCACCCCACCAGCCAGACGCCAGCTCATTGCTTCTCTCATCCAATCGACACCCAGTGCCCATCACGAGTTTGGCTTCACATGTTTTTCATGTGCCTGGCAAGTGTCCAGGCTTTCCCGTACCCTCTATTTGTTTATCTCGTGGGTCACATACGTGCCATGTGTCTAAGTCCTTCTAGGCTCTTCCTCCATAGCAATGAAAATTGTCATTGATCAAAGTTCACATAATAAACACAAATGTCTAAAGCTGTCTGTAAGCAAATCCCAGTAAACAAATATCTTAAATTTACAAAAGCAAGGCTTTCTCACCGTAAAAACCACAACACCACTGTTTCTTGTTTTGGAGAAGGGGGAGTGTCAGGGTCTTTTGATGTAGCCCTGGCTGGCCTGGAACTGGTGATCCTCCTGCCTCAGCCTCCCAAGTGTCGGGTATTACCACGAAAGTGTATAAAATCACAAGTTCCCCTTACTCTTTGCCACCTCCACCTGGCTCCCGGGTGCTAACACCTGCAGTGTATGGATGGTGCGGCGTGTGGATGGTGTGGTGTGGTTCCTGTCCTAGATCTTGTCTAAATATTCACAAAGAAGAAAGTATACATACATCAAAATGTAATGACAGAGTCTGTGTCTACAAACTGAGGCTGTTGATTTGCAATTTGACTTTTCTCTGAACGCAAAACATGAGGGATGCTGTGCCGGGTCAGCGCTATAGACCCACTTGCTCTTCTTAAAGGCCACACAGCATGCACAGAGAGTGCACTTAGCTTATTTAACAGGCTCCTGTCCCCTTGGAAGGATGTTGACAATTTCCTTCTCCTCCCAGCCACAAAGTGGCAGTAAACACCTGAGGTTTGTTGTATGAGCCTTTCTGAAGGCTCATTGCTAGCAGTGGGTTTGTCATATTGTATGGTTCTGGGTACCCAGGAAAGTGGGAGATTTGGAAATATTGGTGGCATGAGCAGATGATGCCAGGTCACCTCTGGAAATGTCACATCCCCTTTGATCCTAACAATAACCAGGATAGTTATAGATCCCAGCCACTCTGGGGTTCAGGATAGCTACTGTCCTGCAGCCATGCCACTGTTGCTTGGGAAGAGAAGTTACAGGTCCTATACCATCTATGGTGACAGGAAGTTGACATTCAGGCTGAGGGCTTCTTCCTCCTCTAGGTCTCCAAAGCTCACAAGTGAGGGCAGCACCAGCTCTGGAACTCGTCTAATCATAGTCATTGACACAAAGCACCACAGATGTTCCTTCTGCCCGACCCCCCCACCCCTGAACTGTAGGGGAACTTCCACTTATGACTGGGCTCATTGCCCTAATGTCACCTCTGGCTCTTCTTGTCAGTACCCACTGCTCTCCCTCTGGGCCTTTTCTCCACCAGGAATCCCCATCTGGACAGCCCCTATTCCTGGCAACCTTGGGGGTATCTGTGCCAGCTCCTCAGATGGCCCTGCCACCTGCTGGGGTCCTGATACCTTAAGAATGAATATACTGAGAGCCCTGAAGGAGGCACCTGCCAGCACACCATACCACTTCCACCTCCAGCCTTCTCAGGAGCTCTGGCTAATACTGTGCCCTGTGCTTGGAGAGGAAGGTTGGCCTTGAGTGGACTGCAGGGCACAGTGCAAAGGTAAGAATCATATGGAAGTGCCTAGCAGCCCTGCAGGAGCCCAGAGACACTGGCACCATGGTCCCCTCACTGCATGGCCCAGGCCAGGCTCCCAGCCTGAGCTGGGAGATCCTGAGCCCAGAGAAGTCTCTCCCTGCTGCAGGGCTGAATCTTCTCCCTTTAGGGGTTAACCAGTGCAGAGCCCAGAACCCAGGCAGGCCTGGAAGAGGAGGGTGGGATCTGCCATCTCCTCTCCTCTCCAGAGGATTCCAGGGTAGGGCTAATCAAGGACCTGGGAAGCCCCACTCCACAGATGCCCAGCCACACCCATCCTGCCCCCTTCCACTTTCTCCCAAGAGGCTGTTTCCAGGTTGTCCCTGTGTTTCCTCAACACAGTGAGACAGTCACGTGTAGACTGAGCTCCATGTCTCCCGTAGACGGTAGAGTGAGGATGGGAGTGGGGAGCTCCATGACTGTCACTCACAGCCCCTTTCCAGCTCCAGGAACTGGGGGTCAAAGCATTTGCAACACACATGGGTTGTCCTCCAGGCTGACAGCCAATGACAGTACTCACAGAGGAGTCACCATTGGTGAGATTTGGGTGCAATAACATTCCACCTCACTCCCAGTGGTGTATGAGTTCATCTCCTCGGCCCCTCCTCCCAGTCACAGGCAGACTCAACAACAGTCAGCAAAACTTTAGTGAGGACATGTGTTTTGTGCATGTGTTGGAGTGTGTTTGCTTACAATGGGGTCTTCTCTGTTCAGGCAGAGCTGGAAGGTGGCTTTGTCCCCACCCAGTCCAATGACCCAGGTGTAGAATTGCCTCCATAATGTCTCAGAGCAGCTGTCCAGTCAAGACCTGTACACCTGCAGCAACAAGGCTCTGCACTTGGCAGAGGGGCGCCTCCAGCTGCTGATACTTTTCCTCCTGGCAGCCTCTAACTTGGGGTAAGGATAGACACCATCAATTCAGCCTAGCCCTCAGGACAAGAAGCAGGTGGCAGAAAAGCAGTAAGTTAAATCCAAGAAGGACCAAGATGGGTGGGGGCATTCCGAGAGTCCCAGAAGTCTCTGCCTTGCTCCAGGAGGTACTGGGGATGAGGTGGCTCAGAAGGCGGGGTTGTCAATGCCCCTCGGCATGCCAGCATGTTCTTCAGGCCTGAGGGTGTAGGGAGGGGGTGGTTCTGTGGGAGGTGGGCCCAGGGCGGGCTTTGGGATAACCTGCAGGGAAAAAAGGACATTGTGTCTGCTCAGGGCCTGGCTCTGGCCATTGCCACCCTCATGCTGGCTGCAGCCAGGGTGAGGGGTAACACAGTGCTGGTGGGAGGATTCTCCCCAGGGCTGAGTGGCCCTCCCTTTCCTAGCTGCTTTAACAATCTGGACAATAGGAAGGGAGAGCCAGTCAAAGCAAGTTAGGGTTGGGACAGAGATACTCACCTCACTGTAAGGGGGTGGGGGCCCAAAGGTGGGGGCCCAGACCCTATTTGGGGGGGCACTGGAGGGAGGATCTTGGGGCCCCTGGTCCACTGCAGGGTCTCGTTCCAGATGTCTGCTGTTGCAACAGAAGCGCTTAGCCAGGCCACAGAAGCACAAGAGGGGCAGGACAACCAGGAAGGTGATGAGGAAGATCCTGGGGTGGGGGCCATCAGCATCACCCTGAGTGCCCAGGCCACCCTACCACACTCCCCTCCCTCCTCCACCACTACCCTCAGGATAGCCAGGCCTGTCTTGGGTGGACCAGGCCACTCCGTGGACGGTACTCACTTTAAGGGGCCAGGGAAGACATCCAAGCAGCAGTCTGAGTCACAACACTTGACTCCTTTAGGACAGCTGCAAGCCAAAGACCAAGAAAGGGGACGGACAGGTTATGGGCACATGTGGCCGGGTAGAAGGATCTCAGCACCCCCAGACACCTGCATCCTGAGGACTCAAGCCTCCTCTCATGGGGCAGGGCACAGTTCCCATGCTGGCCTCAGTGGGAGGAACTGGGGCCAGGACTCAGGAGCTGGGTTCCAGGCTTGTCTTCAGATACTTGTACCAAGTTACTGCTTCTTACTGGGCCTCCCTTTTCTCATCTCTAAAATGGGAGCAATAAACACCCGCCAAGCTCACTGGCCAGGTGTGGGGCTTGAATGTTGCAGTGGTCACAACATCGCTCACTTGACTCAAAGGAGATGTGGAAAGACGGGCAATGCTGACTTGAGGAGCACCCTTGGAGTCTGAGGTGGGCAGGGAAAGGGGCTTCCAGAACATCCAGTGCTGACTTGACAGAAGTATTTTCTACCCTGACACCTCCACCCCAGCCCCTCTTCACTGTGCTCAGGCTTCTCAGGATTTATACATTAGGGTCAGCGCAGACTCTGCCCACTGCCCTCCTGGGGACCCTTCGGGGAGATGACCTGTAACTATTAAGAAGGATTCATTTACTATCCTGTCCCTAAACCTGCAACTCTTCATCATGGTTAGGTGGAGAAGGAGGACCTCTCTCTCTCTGATTGAGGTAGTAGTTTCTGGCTGGAGTAGGAGTGAGTGAGAACGATGGATGAGGTCACCATCCATTCCACCCAAGAAGACAGGCAGACATGATTTGGGTTACATGATTTGGGTTGCCCTCCCATCCACCTTCACCCCACCCCACCCTCACCCCAGATTGGAAGTTGTGGCTGAAGTCTCAGACTTACATGAAAGCACATCTAGACTTGAACGAAATCTGTGGAAGAAAAGAGACAGGTCAGGGCTCATGAGCTAGGGGGTGGCATCTCCATTCAGATGTTGCCTAGGGTAGTCACAGCCAGCAGGTCCCTAATGGACTCAGCCTCTCCCTCCCTTCCACCACCTTGTCCCCAGGTCAATGACTAGAACTCCTTGACCCCTGGCCAGCAGGCTCTCCTTCCTCCTCCCACCTCCACTAGAACATCTACTTATCCCAAGTCTGAAGTTCATCCTTCAATTCAGTTCAATTCAGTTCAATTCAGTGCCCACAATAGCTGTGGTCCAGAGACCAACAACTTTTCTTTTTCCTGCTCTGCCCTGGCCCTCTCTCTGGACACAAACTGCAGACAGGAGGACTCAGGCTATCATGTAAATCTGATCGTGTAACAACCTCATGATCAGAACCACCCCCCTACACCCAATGAGCAGCTTCAGCTCCTCTCCTCAACTTCCCCTTGTTCCCTCTCTTCCCCGGGAAAACATAACTCTGGGAGTTCCCAAATCACACCTGCTCTTTTACCCTTGCCAAGCCCTGCTCATCCTTCGATCCCTGCCAGGGATTCCTTGCTTTGCAGAGAGGCCTGGACCCCCTTTTCCCTCTGCCCACATGGCTCCTTCCTGCCTCCCTTCTTCTTCTGCACTAGCTCTGCCAGGCATTCAGGGTGGCAACAGAGAATCAATCCTGGTAATAGCAATTACAGCAAGTCCACCATATTAGCAGATTTAGTACATGTGGTTTTGATCAATGCAGCCAAGGAATAATAATAAATTTTAAGAATCAAAAGAAATTTTAAATTTCCACATGTGCATCACACATCTCACAGTTGATTCCAAGAAACAGTCAGTCCCCATCATCATCAGTTGTGTATAAATTGTCATGTGATCAGCTGAGTGTTTTCCTCTAAAAAAGCATTCCGTGGTGCCCCCAAAGTAAGGTAAAAGTCAATGTGCTTAATTGAAGTGATAAAGTGAAAATGTTAGATTTGTTGAAAGACTGCACGTCTTTAGCAGAAGTTGGGCAATGTCTGCAGTAAAGGACAGAGCTCTAGGCGTCCTGAGGATGCATGGATTTTCCTTCACAGTGATCTCTTTGGAACCATATACCCAAAGATCCCAAGGGCCTACTCTACATGTCCAAGTCTTAAATAGGACTCTCTTCTTCTGCATGTCATCAAGGCCGGCTGGGCATCTCCCTCTCCGACCACCTTATTTAGAATCACAACCGCTCCCCCAAAGCGCCCTCCCTCCCTAGCGAGTTTTACATTCCTTCACAGTGCTCACCAGTATCTAACATACTACACATTTTATGTCCTGTCAACGGCCAAGCAGAATGTAAATGCCATGTGGGCAGGGATTTTTCAGTTTTTAATCCCTGCTGAAAACCCGATGGTCAAAATATTTGCAGAATGTATGAGTTTTCAAATATTACCTAGTTTTATTTCATACTGTCTTCTTCCAGACTGTGGAGAGGGATGTAGACATGGGGACCCAGAAAGTGGGGGTGTTATCACCCCACCCTAGCCACTGGGACATTCAGGGCTCAAGAGTAAGAAGCCAGCATTGGCAAGACCACAGTTACCTTTACACCTTTAATTAAAGCAAAGTAGCATTTCACTTGCTAATCTCAACGGTAAAGATAAGAGTACCAATGATCGTAATAGTTAGGCTAATTCCCCTTTTCAAGTTTAGTCTCAGGCTGAGTACCTTCTCATCAGCTCTGTCCTTTAGTGGGGACAGGAGCAGGAAAGAACCCTGCAGTTTGGCCCAGAGAGGGTGTGAGTCTCTCAAATCACACAGCACACAAGGGTGACTACAGAGTTCAAGACAAACCAAAGGTTCCAGACACTTGGCCACACTCTTTCCCCCTCAGATCCCAAACTCTGTCCTTCTTCCTTCTTCTGGACCCCACCCAAGAAGCTGCAAATAACGAAAGGTTCAACAGTCCCCGTTCCTGCTGAGGGGGATCCCTTCTCCCAGTTTCCCTCTCCCCATTTTAACGAGTGGGTGATCTTGTCTGGGGCTGAGTTTTGTCAGAGGCTGAGTTTCCTGAAGCATCGGGGTGGTGCTGGGCAACTTGTTCACTCTGACTAGCAGTATCAACAGTGCCCGCCCCTGGGGTGTCTGGGAGAATCAACAGAGGATGCTCTGCTCAGCACTGACTCAAACTGGTGGTACAGAAGGAATGCCATGCTCTTGTGAACCTTGGTCCATGGAAGGGTTCCTCACATAGGCTTTGGCCAGGCGTGCCAGTCAGCACAATCCTGTGCTCTGTTCTGGAAGCAGGCTTGGGATTTCCCCAAGATTCCCAAAAGGAAGTGAGTTAGAAAGGTGTGTTCTGGGCCCATCTCAGCTCACAGGAGCATCTGTCATCTCAAGACTGGACAGCCCCCATCACTTGTAGAGTGTATGTTAGAGGAACAGGGGCCTGAGGCAGTGCTCAAACCCTGTCTCGCACAGTCACCCACTTCTGAGGCCACCCAGCCAGATGCTGGAACTCTACCCCCAGTTCTAGAAAGATAGAGAGCCTCCTCTCCTCTTGGGAACAAACACAGAAACAGTCGCAGAGACGGCTAGGACATTCCCAAGGTCACCCAGCCCTAAAGGAACAGAGTTGGGGAGACGCCTGACATACACCTGCAGACCTCAGTCCTGGCATTCTGATGCAGCCAGGAAGAAGCTAAAAGGACAAGCTAAGACTATACGTGGGGGTCAAAGTCCCCATTCAAGATGTTAGATGGGCCGTGGGTGGAGCAGATCCAACTAAACAGTAACACCCTCCCCCCAAAGATGAAGGGGCCTAGACTTTCCTGGGGCCTAGACTTTCCCAGGGCCCCTCTCCTCTGTCTTCACCTCTACCTCCCCGGCAAAAACAGAAAGGAAGTTGCTAACTGCATGTGGTCACAAGGAAATCCTGACAAGGGAAGGTGGTGACCAGGCTCAGAGGCAGGCCCCTGTCCCACGGCGAAGGGCGCGAAGAGCTCCACAGCCTTACTCACCTCCCGGGCGCTCACCCGTTGGAGGCCCGCCAGCAGGCTGAGTAGCAAGGCGGGCGCAAGACCGGGGACCCAGACTTCTGACATCCTGGCATTGGGGGCCGCTGGGCTTCCGTGAGTAGAAAAGCATGGGAGAGGCGGGGCCGGGACCTCTCCCTCTTCTCTCCACCTATGGGGCCCCGCCTGGGGATGGGGGCGGAGCTGGTGCACCTGGGTTGGGCCAAACTTGGGGCTGGAAAGGGCATGCGGGGGGAGGGGGCGGAGAGGAATGGGGGAAGAGGTCTTGCTTAGGTTTGGGAAATTGGGAGGCAGAAGAGATGAGCTGATTTAAAAATAAATTTGAGGGGTCAGCTCAAGACTACTGAGTTACGTCTTGCTACCCCCTCCCCAACCCTCAGTCTGTGTGTCCCAGACATAAGGGAGGTGTGCTGTGCCTGGTAGGGTGGGAGAGGGGATATTAGAGGCGGGCCTGAGTTTGGAAGTCCATTCTTATCTGGATTTCTGGAGGAGGCAGAGGTGCAGAGGTTGAGGGTGATGGGGCTAAAAGCCTGGGGCAGACCGTGAGGGTGGCATGGAGTGGCGGGGAGGGTGTTGACACCTTTTTAAAGCCAAGAAGGAAGGATTGGGGAGGGCAGCCTTCCCGGTGCGGAGAAGGAAGACTCAGAGCAAAGCGTGGGTACATTCGTGTCCCCTCCCCTTGAAACCCAGAGCGGGGTTTCAGAGCTGTTGGTAAGTTTCCTCTCTGACTAAAGGGGACCGAAAGGGTCAAGACATGTCCGCCGGGGCCTCCCGCAGCAGGCGAGCCGGGGCGCTGGTGGACAGGTCCGTAGGGATTTCGGGAAAGACCCCTTGCGGCGGCCGGGCTCTAGAGGGGCGCGGCGCTGTCGGAATCCGGCCACCAGGTGGCAGCATCGCCCAGCGCGGACCCCGCGAGTCGAGGCTCGCGATCTGGGACCTGGGATCTGGGACCCGACCCCGCAGCTGGCAGGCGAGCAGGGTAGGTGGCAGGCAGGGGTGAGAGACGAGACGTGTGGCAGCCCGACTGGAGGTGGAGAGATGAGCCGAGCCCGGGAAAGGGACTAAATGAAGGTGGCGGCTGGGCGCTGCGCTCTGGCCTCTGGGGACAGAAGGAGGTCGCCCTGGGAGGCCCAGTTGTCAACGTTTGCGCGTCTCCTGCTGCGTCTCCAGCTGACTTTGCCTCTGAGTAATATCCCTGGCTTCTTAGAGAGGAGTGTCCTCCTCGTTCTCTTGTTCTGCCTCTCACCTCTTTCCCTCTGCTTTCTTGCTCCCAGTCCTGCCATCTGTCGTGCTGAACCTCTCTGTGTCCTCCCCTTTTCTTCCAGTCTCCCTTTTCCTGTCTCGGCTTCTCCCTATCTCCATGGCCACCCCAATGTCTCCCAACTTCTTGTCTCTCTGTTTTCTTGTCTGTTTCTCCCAGCCCTCAGTGGAGTAGTCTGGTTTTTCTCTCTGCCTCCATATCCCTTGCCTACTTTGGTCCTACAAACTCCCACACCCACACATCCACACCCCCCCCCCCCCACACACACCGTATCACCCTGGTCTCTCTCTTTCCTGTCTCTGTTTCTCATTATCTCTTGGCCCTTTTTGGCCCTTAAGAACAGAATATTCCACTCCCTTGAGCCAAATGCAGTTGGGATCTGGCCCTGGGAGAATTTCCTCTATTCTCAGTTCCTGGCGACTGAGCTTGGAGCAGGCAATGAGTGGGGTTGGGCACGTTTTGCCTCTTCCCCCTGTAGTTGGCAGTAGACCCAGACTAACCTCCTGCAAAGGGGACCTAGTCAGTCTAGAGAGTGCTGGAACCTTCTTTCAGCACCATGCACATTTCTGCCTCTTTAGTGAAATTGTTGCTAACTTGGACTTCTGAGTCGCAGCTGCACCAGCACCTGTGGCTTGGGATATACATATATCCCTTCCATTCCTAGTCGCCAGCCACCCTGCCCAGGCCTGGAGCCCTTAGAGGTACAGCCTGAGGGAACAGGAGCATAGCTGAATTTGGGGAGGAGTGTGTGCTGGAGACTGAGAGGGCATGGCGAGAGGTTGGCAGGGTGGAGGAAGTGAAGGGACACAGCAAGCACCAGTGCCCTGAGAAAGGAAAGGGGCAGGGAGGCTGATGTCACTGCTCTCAGGGTCTCTGTATCCACCTAACCCAGATCTAAGGTTGCCAGAAAAAAATGTCTAGCTAATTTTGAATTTCATTTAAACAACAAATAATTTTCTTTTAATTTAATATATCCCATGTGACATTTGGGATGTACTAATACTAAAATTAATTAGTTGTTTGTCTGAAATTCAAAGTTACTTGGGTGTTCTGTATTTGTATTTGTTAAGTCTGGCAGCCCTGTGCACATCCCTAAAATATCACAGAGACAGACTTTTGAGAACAGCTAATCAAACTGTCCCTATGGAGAGCTGCCCCCCACATACATCTGCCCAAAAGAGAAAGTGAGGTCCCTTGACTGGACTCACTGGGCAAGTCTAAAGTGTCCCTAGAACTTGCTTTTAGACCCCCAACTTTGTCCATGACACAAAACCGCCCCTTTGCACTCCTTCCTACAGATGGGAAGGGGATGAGGAACCTGGAAGTGAGTGGCCCTGTGCAAGGCCTTGGTGCAAGGCCAAGACTACCAGGCCCTGGTCATCATCCATCATGGTTCTGGAGCCCAGCATTCCCGATGGGTGAGGCTGGGTGGATGTGGGGCTGGGTGGGGCCCCAGGCCAAGCAGAGAGGGGCCGTTCTTGCTTATGGGGATGAAAATCCCATACAGGGACAGCACCTTCTGTTCCACACTTGACCTGACAGTGAGAAGGAGGCAAGCACATGCCTGCATGGGTGTGCTCAGGCATGCAGAGACATGGGGGTGGGAAGACCCAGAGACTTCACAGTTAGTGAGTCCCTCTGCATTCCATGCCAAATTCCATCTGGGGTTTCCCAAGAGCAGCAAAGTCAAGATGTCTCCATACGCACTCACTTCTCCACAGCCCGCTCACTAAAGAATGAGCCGATTGTCTGTGCACCCTCCAAGGGCTCAGCTGAAAGGCCTGGGAGGTCCAACTAGCCACCCACTCCTTCTCAGAGAAGGCAGCTGAAGCCAAGAGGCCAGGAAGGCCAAGGCACACAGGACACCAGGGGGTGCGTCACGACCAAGACTACACAGGCCCCGAGACCCCACACACAGTGCAGGCAGACACACCTCAGGCCATGGGACCCACTGCTCAGATGGAGGAACACTCCTCTGGGAGTTGGACTGGGAGGCCTTACCCAGACTGGCCCGACCCACCCAGGGGGAAGGGCCAGATTGAGTTCTTTCTGGTCCACTTAGCATGCCTTCATTCCTAGTACTCAGGTGCACACAGATACCTGGATACCTGTAATAGTAGCTACAGGGCTGGGGTGGGATCTCTTCTAAGGCTGCAGAATGCTTGACTTTAGCTGGGCTCTGCCTGTAGGGGCAGTATTGTGCCACGCTAGTAAGTATGTCACTTACTGTGGTATGCTGTGTGGCTTTAGACAAGAAACCACACTTCCCTGTGCCCCTCCAAACTCATCTACAAAAGGAGGGGAGAAGAGTCAGATAGCAAGATCTCCCTCTTCACACAGTCTGACACACACAATAGCAAATAAACATTAGCTAACAGTTTTTTGTTCCTGGAAAGGAAAATGGCCAATGATCCCTTCTCTCTATTCCACACAGAGGCAGAGTGAGGTGCCCAGGAATTAGGGGTCTTGCTTCCCTCAGAACACCACGCGCACTCCCATGCAGGAGACCAACCTGGACTCCCCCAGAATGTCAAGCTCACTGGCTCCCTCTGCTGTCCAGTAGATGTTCTGCACCCCACCTAAGGCCAAGTCAGGGTGCAGGGTGGGTGACCCATCTGAAAGGATGACCTGGTACCGACCACTCCTGGATATGGTGTTGGGACTGTAGGCTTGAGATTTCCACTATTCCTGGTTCCCCCAACCCATGGCCCATTGAGCATTGCATCCACCTCTCCCCAGGCTGACGGTCTCACAGAGACTGGAGACTGTCACAGTTGTCTCCTTCCTTCATCCCCATGGATGTTCCTGTGGAGTACAACCTGGTTCACCAAGGCCATCACAGTCACGTTCAGGAAGACCTCATTTCTGGTCTCCCCGTTGTCCTTATTGGGACATGTCTTTCTTGCTCCCTAACCTTCAGCTGCTCCCATGGCTGGCTTGAATAAACTTTTAGGTTCCCCTCTTTCAGTGTGCTCTCTCTGCCCCCTGCCATGTTCTAGAACCCCTCGGCCCACCCTTTCCGCTTCCCTCCTGCCCTCTGTCTGGGCAGTTTTCCCCACCTGAAATACCTTTCCCAACCCCTTTCTGAAACCTAGCAAATTCTTACCGCCTTCTCCAGAAAGCCTTCCTGGACTTGGGTCTTCTTGCAAAAGTGGTTGTCCCCTCCCCACTCCCTCCCACCCAGGCCTCTCCCTGGGCCTCTCCAAGGTCCTGGCCCCTCTCCCTTGAAGACGTGTGGACATGTCCTCATGTTCCCACCAGGCTGCGGGGGCTGACCAGCTCTGATTCAGCCTTCATTCCCCATGGCGCTTTGTTCCAAGTAAACACTGGCTGTGTTGTCACTGAGTCAAAGCTTGATGGGGGCCTCCAGGGGTCACAGTCCAGATTTCCCTAAGGAGAGAGGGAATTAATTTCTAAAAGCTGTTGGTTAAGGGGGTCCAGACTGGTTGGGCTCCCCATCCCACTGGCTGTGTTTGAGGAATCCACCTCTTCTGCTTTTGGCTCCCAAGGGTAACTGGTGCTTGTCACTCCCCCAGCAAGAAACCCCTGGACAGAGCAACTTGTGAAGGATGCTGCAAAGGATGTTGGGTACTATCTACCTCTCTGCCCAGGAAGGCAGAGAGCCAATAGGGTGCTGCTGTGGGATTTCTGAGCCATGGGATCTGGGTCTGAATCTTCTTCCCAGCATTCCTTTAGGAATGGAAGCCCACCAGCCTTCCTCCCGGGGTGATGAGAGTGCCGGTGGGGGAAATGGCTTCTGAAGTTGACCCCAAGTCAGAGCCGCCAACCTGTGGGCCAGGAGGCTGGA